ATGGACTTGGATTTTATTTTTTAGGGTTTGATAGAAGGAGAAGAAATTTAGAGTTAAAAAAATGGTTAGAAATTTTTTTTTATTGAATTTCTCCTTTTCATTTATTTATTACACTCGCAAAAAGTGTTAGATCATGAGGAAGAAGAAAAGAACGTACAAAATAAATAAATAAAAAAATGAATGCAAACAAAGAAGTAAGAATAATAACTCTTACCAGATAAAAGAATGATGAGAAACAAACAAAGAAAGAGAATCCTTATTAGATAAAGGGAGGATAGGAAACAAACAAAGAGGGAGAATCCTTATTAGGTTAAGGGATAATGAGAAATAAATCAAGAAATAGGAAAGAGAACACTTACTTGGTTGGATCTCTCCTTCAATTTGTTCTCTGTAATCAGCTTCGAGATGTGCTTTAGGATTCTTGGTGCCATAAGATAACTTTTTCTGATGTACTCTCCTCCTCTTGCTCTTTATTTTCCATGCTCTCTATAGAATTCCCTCTCCTCCTTTGTTTTTTTTTTTAAAGAGGTCTCAATTCTCTCTTTTTGTTTTCGTATTCAAAATTCCCCCTCTCTAAAAATCTAAGTTTCCTATTTATAACCCACACCTCATAAACCCTCGATCCTATTTAATAGGATTATTTATTTAATTATTTTAATAAAAGGTTCCATCTTCTTATAATCCCTTATTTCTAGATGGCCACCCCTCATATTTTCTCAAGTGTCTCCTCCACTTCTATTAAAATCTACCCACTAACGTTTTTTCTCTCCACTAACCAAAATATCTACCTATTTAAAATTTTAAAATATTAACCTCTTATAAATCTAAGAAATTTAAGATTTTATCTAATTTTTATTTTATTTTTTTAAAACTTTATTTAAACTGGACCTAGATAAAATTGGATATTCACATTATTATTGATGCAATAATTGACTCATGCTGATCAGAAATTATGCCAACAATATCTTAGGTGACAACGTGTCTACATAAATTATCAAGGAAAAAAAAACAAGCATTTGCAGTATCACTCTCAACAATAACAACTATGATTACCATCTTGTGCAACATCTTTCAATAGAACTCTCTTGTATTTTTTATATAAATGTGTCTCATCAACCTGTACAAGTGATTTGTAGTGTTTAAATGTTCTGTTACAAGGATCAAAAGTCCAGAACACTAGATGAAATATTTTAACATTGGGAATTAACTCATCAGCATGGTAGGCGTCTACAACATCCAACAGAACTTTGAACATAATCATACGTTGCTACACATCATTGCGATAAAGCTTTAAATGAGGCTTTTCATTGACCATAAACTTTTTCAATTGCTTTCTATTTTTCCATACATGCTTTCTAATATGTTGTCGTTTAGCTGTACTGAGATTGAATTTCACTAATAACGAGTTTTATTTTAAAGGAAGGGTCAGACTCAACCATTAATTTTATATATTCTGCAATTGTGTCAGAATCCAATTTGGCATGATCCTAAAAAATCCTTCCTCTTGTACATATGTGTGAGTTGTTGTACTTTCCGATCTCCCAAATAAACTCGTTCCCACTAAAAGAAGCACAAAGAAGTCATCTATAATCTATTTCATACCTCACGCATTTATAATAAAACACATTTGGTTTTGACCCAACCACTTTGTAGTCCACTCCATTTGCTATACTATAACACTTAATTGTTCAGGTAACAGCTTCTCTATCATTAAATTGCTTTCTAAAATACAAGTCTTCATCTACAAAAGAATGACTTATCAAATGCAAAAACAAATATAATAAATTTATAAAATTATAATTTAATTCATCAACAAAATTATTAAAAAACATATACCTAAGTTTGTATACTCTAAAAATTTCAAATGCATGCATAACATTAATATTTCACAAACACATAAAATGTGTCTCCTCAAATGGATGTTGCCCTATCACTATGTTTGACAAATAGACCTCATCATCACCATTGTCATTCAAATCCTCATCTTCACTCAGCTCACCACTTCCATATTCTTCTTTAAACTTAGAGTCACCACTTTCATTGTTGGCATTTATCCATTCTACTTCTCTGTTTGATACAGTGCTTGTATGTTTTCTCATTGTCTTTTTCATCAATGTTAACTGTAATTTCTTTTATAACAACATATAACTCAATGATAGAGGTTGGCGTATGATGTTATTGATATATTTAAAATATTTGTAAAATATCAACATCGTTCCTTATTATAATTGTATGATATTATATGAAACCGCTAAATATTAATATTTGACGCCTATAAATAATACTTTCTATTGCTTTTGGAAACACAAATTCAATATTTTGAGTAAGCTAATACTTTAGTTTGTCAAATAATACATTCTCTCTTATATACATACATGTTGACTTTTCACATTTAAATAACATACCTTTAAAGTGTTTGTAATAATCTCACCATTAAAGTATATTAATAAGAATACACTCATTTTTTTCCTCTATGATGAACACACTCTCTATTTAAAAATCTTCCTTTCCACTCACTTACAACTTATAAAGGATGAAAAACTCAATATTTATAGGCAGATATTTTAAAAATTGATAATAATGAATTTTAAGATTTTTTGATTAATTTATATAATCTAAAAATTGTCAATAAAAATTTTATATATATATATATATATATATATATATAATTTTATTTTTGTAAGTACTAAAAGTTATCAATCACAATTTTTTACACGTACAATTTTTTTTAAAGTTACGGTTGACAAGTCTTGGAATGATTTGATATTTATGATAAAAAAATTGTCACGGACAATTTTTACTAAAATCTCATATTCACGTAATATAGAAAATTTTTTCATATTTCTTATATTTTTAAAGAAAAAAATTATTTAAAAAAAGAGCCTAATATGAAAATTGTTGAAACATTATTTATTTATTTATTTTTTTTATAGTTGACGACCATAACAAAGTCACCAGGTTCCATCTCATTGTAAGTGGTTACTACAATTCTTATCAACGACAGGTCTAAATCTTTAAAAATTCGTATGAGTTTGGATTTTTTTCTAGTGAAAATTTCATTATTAAAAAAATATTATATAATCTCATTGTTAAAAATTAAAATATATTATTTAATAAATATTTATATCATAATATTGTATTATTCATTATTAAAAGTTTATGCAATAAAAATATTAATGCACAAAATCTCTTCCGAACCCATACACCACTTTCCGCCTCATCTAGCACTCATCAATGTTATTGACTTCCACTAATGACAAAACCTTTGCTAGATTTGCTTCATCATTATGCTCTCTCCCGTATCCAGTCCTCTCATTGAAAACATAAACGTTACCGATACTCAAATGTAAGTCTAATCAAATAGCATTGTCAATGCTATATGGAAAAAAATAAAATAAACTTGTTGCAAAAAAATTGTCACAAATATTAAAGCCTTGGTGAGTGAGAACAAATTATGAAAAGTATATATACATGGGCATGATTTTTTTATATTAATATAAATTTAAAAAATTTTATATTAATATAAATTTAAAAAAATTTATAATTAATTTAAATTTTTTATTTAATTTATATTTAACAGGTTATAATTTATTATTTTACTTGTCATTATATATAAATTAAATAAAATATTCAAATTGAGTGTAAGAATTTTTAAATTTACATTAATATAAAAAGATCATTTTTCTATCTCTATATATAAATGACTATTCATTTTTATAAAAAAAAAGTTCAATTAACCACTTTAATCTTTTGTAGGTTATTAATTTTAAATTTTATTTTTGATTTAAAAGTAATTATTCTCTTTTAATAGTGGCATGGTGTTTTCTCATTTCTGAGGGATTAAATTAAACTAAATTAGATATAATTTGTATTCAATTAACGGTAATTTAATAATAAATTGATTTAATATAGATATCTTGGAGACTAAATTATAGAAACTAACATGTTAACTAAATGAGAAAAACAAAGGATCAGCAAAAAATTAAAAGAAGATTTTGATTTTTGTTATTCAGTGTTCAAATAAAATATTGTTAATTTTTAACTGATATTTAAATTCAAACTAAAAGTACATTTTTTATATTTTGTTTAGAATGTGAGAATTTTTTGTAAAAAGGAAAAGAAGAATGTCAGAATTTGAGAGAAAAGAAATTAACAAAATTAACAATCTTATTAGAAAACTAAAATTAAATTATATTTGTAATGATTAAAGATATAATTTACCTTGTAATCACACGTAAATGAAACGTTTGAATTTTCATTTTATAAATTAACAACATTTTTTCCCCCATTTTGTACATTAATAAAGACATGCTAATCGTATTCAATATTCAATTAGCATAGATCCTTAGTACGTGGCGATGACTGGGCATACTGTTGATAGAGAACATTTACGCCATTATTAAATTATTGTATCACATTAAAATAGGATCCTATTTTATTATTGTTCAATCTTAGTTGATAACTGTTTTTTATTAAGCATGTGGACAAAAGTTTAAGTTTTGATAGTATGTATAAAAAATATAGGAAAAACAAAAACTAATTTAAACCTCTTTTATGTTTTAAAGAAATTAATTTCATCTTTCAGCTAAAAATACCTTCGGTACGTATAAAAAAGTTTTAATTAAATGTAATTTTTCCGTTTTCTCTCACTAAAGATTAAATATGTATTTGTTTTACTTTATTTCTTTTAAAAAATTAATAGATTTTTTAAAACTAATATAAAAAAGGCCCAATCAATTATGAGCTTATTAATTATAAATTATCAATAAAAAGTTTTCAATAAATTTTTTAATAAAATAATTTAAATATTTTTATTAAAATAAATATTTTTATACTTTTTAATATAATAAATAACTTTTTAACACAATCATATCATTTTTAAAAAAGTTAAAATCAATGCTGAAGATTTTAAGGTTTGATACTTGTTTTGATTTGAGAACTTTAAAAAGTTAAACTATGTTTTTTTCCAATATAAATAATAAATATTTGTTGAAAGTCTCAAAGCCACCATTTTATTTTTGTTATCCTGAAGCAATCCAGTCACGGGCTTCGTGAAGTTGTGATCAACTACGTTACTTTTCTCTTGGTTTTCTTCCCCTTCTTAATCAGGTTTACTTCTTTCCATAACTTTGTCAAAATCAAAGTTTCATGTTTTTGGTTTCCATAATCACTTCTCTGTTGTTAGACGGATATTATATCATCTGGGAAATTCGCTCAATTTGTGCTTTTCCTCTTTTTTGAATTCCTTTGCTCCCAAGTTTATCTGAAACACGGTAGGTAGGAGATGATGATCCTTTTCGAACTTAGGGTTCCTTTTTTACTTATAACATAATATTTTATTTTCCGATGAGTTTTGTTCCCCTTATACCCCATCCGCTACTTGTCTATTTGCAATCGTTTGCTGGCTTCGTGTTGTTTAGTTTGCGGTTTTGTCGTTTTATGATGTCTCTTCCTTTGTTTTATATTTTAGATAAAATAATTCATTTTTATGTTTGAGTGATTGGCGAATAACCTTTCCTGTGTCTGACAATGCATATTTCATTTTTCTTTTAACTGAGTTTTGTGTATGCTACTTTCAGTAAGAATGGCAAAGAGCTACTTCAAACAAGAACATGATCTTGGTATATACTTTTTGTTTTTACTTCCCCAGTTACTCGTTACTCTTCCTGTGTATGTTAGTGGTAGTAATATCCAAATAATCACTTTGTCTTCAGAGAAGAGAAGAGCTGAGGCAGCTAGGATTAGGGAGAAATACCCGGACAGGATCCCGGTAAGAATTATTACTGTCTCATACTGATGCTGTTTGTGGTGATAGGTGAAGTATACCTTTGTAGCAGAAGCAGACTTGTTTTCTTATGTGTTCGTCTGCTTGAGGTTCCAATGCTTTTAAATTTGTCTGGTTGATATTTTGTGGGGTGGAGAATATTTTTTTCTTAATTGTAAATATATATTCTTTATGTTTGAATTATTTATTGTCTACTATCTCTGCGCTATGATGTGGTGGTGTAATGTATAGCTGACTTGCGCTTGACTTTTGTGCAAGTCCTTTACAGAATAGGTGGTCGTTGATAACAATCTTTCTTGAACAGATATTTCTTTAACAATGATCTGTTCATTTGGATACCTGCTACTTTGATTTTCAGATTTTAGACATGTTCACTGCGTTCTGTACGGTGAAAGCAATTTAATTAAGCATTTTTCTGTTCTTATTTTGGTGGTCTTCTCATCATACATGCTTGATGTTCCTGTTAGTGTCATTGTTCCCCTTACCTTGTTTTAATTTCTTTCCAGGCATCTCTAGTCCTACCTTTCCCTGGGTGGACTCTAATGTAATATCTTTGGAAATATAGTTATGTTCCTCACAAGAATGGTCTGTAATTCTATTGCATGCTAAATTGTTACATGTTTTTAGATTTTGTTTATTGGTTTAAATTTGGATAGCTAGTGTACAAATTATCTTGATTTGGGAATACTCTATATATTGGATGTTAAGTGACTGATCATGAGTCCACTGAAGTATACAATGAATTCAACTGAAGAAAAATTGTAAGATGATTTTTACTTAATATTTATGAATCATGCATTTGTGGACTTTCTCCAAGGCTGGATCCTTTGATTGAATAACGTTCCTAAACCATAATGTATTTATGTTTTCTGCTCTATACTAGTTATTCTGAGTTATGATTATATGATGCCAATCAGTCTTCATTACCCATTTTAATTTTACTCTGATTTTAATATCAAAGTCGTGCCATCTAGATGTCAATTTGATTAGACAGTATATCCATATTTAGAGATAGGTTGATTTTAACTTTTCAAGTGGTTATATTATATCAGTCAAGGCATGTTGTAACTTCTGCCTTCTGCCCGCCTGAACTATGATACATAAAAGTGCATATCATTGATAAAATATCTAATTTTTGTGCTAAATTGTCTATGGGTATGCGTGAAGGTAATTGTGGAGAAGGCTGAAAGAAGTGACATCCCAAGTATTGACAAGAAGAAGTAAGATATTGCCTGTACTTTCCTTCTAATGTTGCAAAGTCATATTAATTATTTCCAATCCAGTTTATGTAATTCAAAATCAAGCTTACACAAATGAATAAATTTTTATTACTGTATAATTAATAAATGCAAATATCATGCTTAGTTGAAAATTTTTTCATATTCCATTCATTTGTATTACAATTAATGTACAATATACTTTTCAAACTATAGATATTCAAACATTTAGTGGGTGTTTGGTTTTCCGTTGGGAAAGAGCCTAGCGTACATTTGTCAGGAAGCAACTGGTTATTGTTTTTCTGATATATATTACATGCTTGGGAATTTGTACCAATGAAAAACCAAACATACTAGTTGTGTTCTTATGCTTGTTTAACTATTCTGAAGTGAGGCATACAATTTCTATGTGATACAGTCATAATGGCCAGATTGATCAAAATCATTTTTTATGGATTTATCAGATGATGTACTGAATTGATCAAACAATTATGAACACCCATTTCGTGGGTGTTAAATGGGTGGATGGAAGAGAGAGCTAGAAAAAAAAAAAGAAAAAGAGATGAGAATGGAAGTAAGAGATGTGTAAAAAAATGAAGAGATAAATAAAAAGAAAGAGGGGATGAAAAGTGGGATGTAAGAAAATTGCTGATATCAGTAGCTTCATTTAGTAAAAGGACCTGAATTTCATATTGGGTTGGCAGCATTTTGAATTGGTTTTCTATTTCTGCAAGCTTGGTTATAACTGCTGCGTATTTTGCTTTTCTTTGTTAATATCTACTAGATTTCTTAAGGTGAAATGAATATATCATTCGCCATTGTCAAATAGATTTGTGCAGTTCGACGTGTAAAATTTCTAATATGGTTGGCAGCCGTATGTACCATATGATGCTATCAAACTGAATGACTAAATTGCAGGTACCTTGTCCCTGCTGACTTGACTGTAGGACAGTTTGTCTACGTGATCCGCAAAAGGATTAAATTAAGTGCAGAAAAGGCAATCTTTATATTTGTGGATAACGTCCTTCCTCCTACAGGTGAACTTAGACGAATTAAATGCTTCTTCACCTTTTTTTTTAATATATGATTCTCTAGACTTCTAACGCAGATTAATCTTAGCCTATCGCTTAACTGGATAATTCACTTTCTTCAGGAGCTATTATGTCTTCCATATATGATGAGAAAATGGATGAGGATGGGTTCCTTTATGTTACATACAGCGGCGAGAACACCTTTGGGGATCTGATTTCATTCATTCAGTAGCCATTAAAAGTTTACTCTGTATGATCCGTATCATCCGGTCTTATTGTTCTGTCTGATAAATTCGTTACAGTACTCATGTCAAGAACCTTACTCTCAATGTTGTGTACATTTGTATATAAATTACGAGAACTTGATTGATGTTAAAAAGTTCCCTCATTCAGTTTTCCCTGTGGCGTCCATCTTCCATATCTTTGAATGTTTATTTTGATTGCACGTTGATACTATGATGTAGTAGTATAAGATTTGGATTTAAATATCTCTTTTTATTCAAGAGGACCTCTTCTTGCCACTTCTTTCTCCTTTGATCATCAATGTTTGATGGGAAAAGGCAAGGCGCCGGGAATTGAGTCAGTATATGGCAGAATGGGGGCTCATTTGTAATGTACATCTTTGAGTATGCACAAGAAAAACGATGATAAATAATAACAATTACTGCTTACTATTTTACTATTTTACTTTTCTGATGGATTATATCACTTCTATTGATATTATTACATGTAAAAATACAGTCATAGTTTGCATAAGCATGCATGTAGCAGACAGTGGGATCTGAAGGATGTGTCCGTTGTCGTGTTACATATAACCTTGAATTAGATATCTGCCCTTCTGGGAAGCAATGGCTATTGTGACAAGGCGTTCCCGCTAATGGCAGATGGTGTACGTGCCATGTGGCATGCTTCTTTGGTGCTGGGAAGAGAGTTGAAAGTGACGGTTTAGCCATGCTTCGTTGTCCCCAAAAGTCCTCCTCCCCACTTCCCCCTCTCCTGTAGGTCCCATATGTTGCAATTCTCTTATGGTAATAGCAGATTGACCTTCTAAAGAACGTAAGAATTCCTAGTTTCTGGGGAGAAAATCAACATTTTAGACAAGAAGGAAACGTTTTATAAATCTTTCAAAACCTTTTTGAATTTATGTTTTTAATTTCTTCCAATGTAAATATTTTTCTACTCTAATTATTATATTAATAAAAAATTTTAATTTTTATAATAATTAATATAAACTATATTAATAGTGTATTCTAATTAATTAACGGTGTAAAAATCTTTGTTATGACACCGGGACAGATGAGTTCTTCAGAATATATATACGCTTAAGAAGCAAAAATAAAATAAAAATGCATTTGAGTTCGTGAGTTTTGAATGCAATCAATGTTGTTACTGATTAAGCTCTCTTGCTTATTTGATTAAAATCTTAATTCAGTAGCTAATTAGGTAGGGATGGGAGATGGGGTGTCCCTACTGATTAAAAATGATCTGCGAATAGAGGTAGGGAGACAAATGTGGACCCTTCATATCTTTATTTTCGTTTTCAAGGTTCATCTCCCAAACACCTGCATGTTCTCTTAAAAAACGTTCTCCATCCCACACAAAACCTGCATTTAATGCACCTGCTATTCTACCATTACATATTCGTGAATATCTGACGCTAGACACTTAAACAAACCTCACTCTTCCTCTGTAACTTGAGCCACCATGACTTCTCTTTCTCTTCTTATGCTCCTTCTCCTCTGTGTTTCTTTGCATGCATGCACCGCCCGATCTCTTCGTCTTACCATAAAAGGCTCCCCCAAGTACCGTTTTCATAAGGTTGGATTCCAAACACCACCTACAATTCCATTTTTGTATGCTACAAGACTTCCTTAGTGCATTGCTTCTTCTTTAGTTCTCCTTATGGGACAAAATATATATATTGTTCACCAAGTAAAGCATTTGAATTTTTTAATAGATGGAGACTAATATTTGTGATGATTTACAGGGACTAGACAATGTTAAATTATTGGAGACATTAACTGCATCGACTGTGAAGGATTACAGGGTAGAGGAGAATCAACCGAAGCAACAGAAAGTGGCAAATGATGAGATACACATTTGTGAGCGTTGTGGCGGCGTATCTACTTTGAAGAAAATGATCGTAGCGGCAGCTTCAGGTGCTTAATTTTCTAGATATCGTTTCTCGGACACACACACCCACATCTCACTTTATTTAATTTGTTAATATATGAGCATAGAAGAGCATTGTCACGAACTCAGACAAAAGAAAATTGAAATTTCTGGGGTTTATATCTACGTTGGTTGTTGAAAGTTACTGTGTATTACTTGTTCATTTCGATCACTTAGTAGGAATTAGTAAAAATAATGAACTAGTTACTATACTTCCAGTTACATGTTGAGATCAATGTACGTCCAAATTTTTCTTCTTTGCATATGTTTGGTCAGACAATAAAACACGATGTGGGGGTAACTAATTTGTGAGGATGAAGTTATTTATATACTGTGCACTCGGTTGTGTATTCCATTAGATTAATTAATTCCTCTCTCAGGATATTTGTAGCTATATGTAACTTTTTTAAGAAATTTTACGATCTTTCCACTATTATATAATTTCTCTCTGTTGCAATAATAATAGTAATAATAATAATAATAATAAGTGTATGGGGTGGCTATGCTGCAGGGATATCTTTTCAAATGGATTCTCCATCCTTCCTTGGAGCAGAGGTAATAGTTTTGAGTAATTTTTAAAAATAATTTTGACTTCAAATATTTGATATCATCTGCCCCTCTTATTGGGTTTAAAATCAGTTTGTCACATTTTAAAATTAATGATAAAAAATTCCAATATAAATCTTTTTACGTGAATTTTACTACTAGCATATACAGTTCTAAAATGGAGAACATGCATTTGTTTGTCGGGTAGAGCCTAGAGGCAACAGTAATCTAATTAATATGGTGGGATGATGTGCATGCATGTTTCTTGCTTGAGAATTATCATTTGAATGATAGAAAGCGATTAGACGTATACTTGTGTAGGATCAGAGGAGGCATGGCCGGTCAATGCTGGGACCTGGTCAGCACCATGTAGAAGAAACAACGGTTACAAACGCCAGTGACACCGCAGAGGACATAGTTGAGATGGATTATGCGCAGCCCCACCGGAAACCACCCATTCACAATGAAAAGCCTTGAATGCATGCTATATTTCAATAATACAATGTTTACTTTTCAAAGAATGTTTGCTGCGAGGTAGTTTTTGGCATTTCCCATGATGTGTGGCAATGTTGAGTAATTTACTTTAGTCAAAATTTGCAGGCTGAAGAAACCAAGGCACATGTAATGCCTTAGTGAAAGTGTCAGAATACCTTGTTTTCCTTATCCGTCGAAAATTTGACTCACGTGAAAAGAGTGCTATGAATTTATGAGAAGTCGAATGCAAGACATGGAATGGAAGAGTTGCCAACTTTTCAGGCTTCTATCAGTATAGCTGGTATTCCTCTTAAATGTTGGTAGTTAAATTGTGTCCCCAATTTCAGTTTACTGTCCTCAAGTTAGTTAATTACACCAAATTGTATTCTGGGTCGATCATATAATTAATACAGGAAGCAAAATCAAAGATAAATAAATTATAAATAATTTTTAGGATATGTCTAGAAGCACATAAAAAAATTAATAAATAATAAAGTTCACTAAAAATTATAATGTTTAATATTATTCTATAATTTCTAATACATCAAATTTTTTATTTTTGTATACCTTGCATATATGTTAAAAAAATCGATTAATAAATGGAAGAAACAAAAGAGACGCATATCACATGTTTTGTAACCGTGCCAAATCTATACACCTCTTGCCTGCTTGGTCCATTACTTCTCTAAGCTTATATTTTATAATGTAGTCAACGGGTCATCAATGACATCTTGTTAATTGATGCCTCTAAGCTTGCATCATCATCATTCATCACCCTCATGTCTGATATTCATCCAATAATAGCCTATACTGATACATTCGTCATGATAAATATTGAATGACTCTAAAATCTAAATTGATATAGAAAAGCTAAATTTCGACAAATGTAAAATATGAAAAATAAAGTCTCAGTAACAATTACAAGGACAAATTATTCAAATCATTAATATAAAATGGCATGTAAACTCATTTACGTACCCTATTCCGATCAAGTTCAGTCTCCGTTTATCCAATGCTATCCAATTTTTCAGTTAATCTGAAAATAATAAAGTAATTAACATGCATCGGTATAGAAAAAATTTAAGAAACTTCATCTCAATGCATAGACGTTGGCTCCCACGGTAGAGTGTTGTGCGCCAATCCAATTGTTTTTATAGTTCAAACTCATTTTACCTTTGCCTTTATAAAAAAAAACACGAAAGTATTTTCGTAAATATGCTAAACGCGATTTCTCATGATTATCGCGGTTTATTCTTTTTTCTTACTGTGCGCCAATCCAATTGTTTTTATAGTTCAAACCCATTTTTTGTTGACCTTTTGTCCCGAAAATGTTGGGCCAACAGACCGGTCCATCAAAATAGTCAGCTTTAGCCCTTAAAAGAATATTTGACAAAAGAAAAGCCCTTAAAAGAATACACGATTTAATAGGGTAGGCTCAATGCAACTTTATCTATCTATCTATTTATTTTATATAAAAATTATCTCATTATTATCTAAATTTTAAATTTAAATATTATTATTTAATAGTCTTTATTTTTATTATGATAAAAATAAGAAAGAGTGATAAAAAAAGAAGAAAAAAAACATGCAAAATTAATGGAATTTAATCACATGACTTACATTTACAAGCAAATTAAAAGATTTCTCTAAAGCTCACAAGTCATATTAGTTCATAACTCTCTATAATAACTTATAACTCTATTACAATCTATTAAAATAATAATAACTGAAATTGAGTCACACATATATTTAAAACATCTCAACAATTATTTATCTTAACTTGAATTATTCAAAATTATCAATAACCAAAAACAAGTAAAAATATTTCACCTTACTACTATTTCATCTTTTCATTGAATTTGCTAGCTTTCAAACCTATATCATTTACATTAGAAGTAAAAGTTATTTTCTTCAATTATTTATACTACATACTATCTTCCATATAACTAAGTGTTTGACTTATATTATTTAAGAACTCTTTAATTTTCTAGAGTACATACGTTCTAACTTATATCATTTACATTAGAATTAAAGACAAGTCTTTCTGATTTTTTAGACTACATGTTATTTTCTTATTTAACCATACCTTTTTAATCATAAGTATTTATAATGACACAAAAGTACTACAACCATCATCATCACAGGACAAACACTATAACCACCATTACCAATGCTCTTTTCAATTTTCTATTGTTATTAACTCTTATCAAGTTATTAATACTAATACTCTTTTCAACTTTGCACCATCATTAGCTCTCATCAATAATGTCATCCAACTACTTTGTTAGAAAAACTTTCAATGTTCGCTACCAATTCCTAGTACATTTATTAATTTAATCACCTAGATGAACCTTTGACTTGCATACTATTTATTGTGGTAAAAACAAAAAAAAATAATAAGAATAAGAAGAACATACAAAATTAATATAGCTTAGTCAGTTTAACCTTCTACATGAAGAGATTTTTATTAGTGCAATTTATAAATATAAGATACTACATTTTGTGTTAGAAAAAAAATATTTTTTCAACTTTTTAAAACTCAAGTAAATAATGGTTTATAAACACATAAATTTTCATTACAACTTATTCAATAATAACGATTAAAATTTAAGAGGCAACAGAAAAATTTAATCATGCAAAAATTCAAAATATTTCAACAATTTTGTTAGGATATTTATATATTGAAAATGATACTAAAACATGTGAAATATAAATATGAGTTATTTTGTAAAAAATTAAGAAAGTTATGGTATATAAGGGTAGTTGGTTGTCAACTAATACAGTGTGTGTTATACAATATTTGTATTAGAAAATTATTTGAGTTGTAAAGGTATGAGGTTTGAAGCATAGTCAATATAAGTTGTAATTGTAATGATAAATTATTTGCAACTTTTTTCGCTGTGGATATTGGCATATACTGATCAAACCATTTTAACGTACAATTAAAATATCTTTGCATCGCTAGTTACATCAATTTGGAAAAGGATGCGAGTTCAGAGTTTTACCTGTCATGGTTTGGAGACAACAATAATATAAAAATAAATTAAAACTGTTGTTCATAGTTTATAATTTATTTAAAATGTATACCGTGGCACTTTAAATTGAATTTTTTATTTTTTTATAAATTTTTAATTTTAAATAAAATATAATTCATATTTAAATAATTTTTATTTGTTATAAATAAAAATAATTCTACCATAATATATTAATTAAATAATTAAACATTCATAATAATAAAAATAAAAATATAAAAAATATATTAATATAGTAATATTATTTTATTTTTAAATTTTAATTTGTTTAATTTTAATTACGTTCTAATCATATTTAAAAAATTAATCACTTTTTAGCTTATTTAAATATAGTAAATATAATAATTTATTATTAAATAAATTTATTATATAAATAAGTGTCTAAATATTATTAGTTACAAATTTTTATATTTAGTACCTTAAAAAATTTTAAAGATACTACAGAATTTGTTTTTATTTAATTAAATCCAATAATAAATAATGCACATCAAGAGGGCCACCTTTGTATCAAATTTTTTGAATAAATGTTGCCACAGAAAGTCATTTTGTGCATGTCGGTCCTATCACGTCCTTCTTGCATCTGATAAGCAAACTCTGTCAATATGAGAAACTACTAAACACAAACATAACACATTGGACGTGTGGACGCTAAAAGTGGAAAATAATGTTCAACGATTACAACAAGCTCAGCGCACACAGGTTTCTATCTATGCTGTCGTACGAAAATGAATTACTTTTCCTCTTTTTATTATCTGTATATTTATTTGTAGTTTCTCAGGGAACAAAAGAAACAGAAGAGAAGGGAAACATCGTATATCTTCCGGCACATGCTTTCTTCTCCGAATCGTGTCGTTGAAAGTTTCAATGAATTACTAATTTCCTTTGATTGCTCGAGTGATACGATGACTTTTTAGCCTCGTAAAGTCACACATTTGACTAAAGGTTAAAAGATCTCCAAAATTTGTATGTTAATTCATAGAGTTGAATCGAGACAAAAAGGAATTACAATTTCAATATAAACCATGTCTTCTCATTATTTAATTTTTGTAATTATTATAATATTATAATTATAATTCCATTGTCATCACACACAAAAGTTGGGAAGGAGTAGCTAGAAATTGAAGCAGAGAAAAAGTTCATATAAGAGCACGTCAAGCAAAATGACACAGCCGACACGTTTTATTGCCCCTTTTACAATCCTTCTGTGAATCCAGAAACTATTGAAACTTCCAAGGCCATACAATTACCGGGCATTCTCAAACAGTCAAAGTCCTTGTTTAACCATTCTATTTGATCAATAAAGAATTCAAAGAAAATAGTATCCGTTTTAAGGAACTCAAAGGACATCTTTAAAATACTTATATTTATTATGTTTTAACTATCACCTTTAAATAAGATTCATTTTAAATTATTATTTATTATATTTTATTTTTATTTTAATATTTAATTAGTTTTTTAAAATTTTGTACCTAACATTAACATTCATCAATTAAAATTAAATGATAACATGCTCACAATTTTTGATACGTCATATTCAATCTTTCTCTTCTATCTTATTTTTAAATTTTTTCTTTATAAATTTTTTTTTTTAAAACACTATACCCTTAAATTTTAATTTTTTTGTTTTTTTATTTTTTAAAAAATAAAATATTGATGTAAATTTGTGACATATAAACTTAGGAATAGTGCATAAAAAAAATTAGAGGTCACGTGATAAACTGTGTACCATTTCAACATTTAAGGTAAGGTACAAAACTAAAAAAATTAGTTAAATATTAAAATAAAAAAAATTAATAAATAAGAAATTAAAATAAATTTTATTTAAAAGTAATTAAAATATATTTAAGTTTATTTATAATTTATTTGAGATAAGTAAAAGTTCAAAACGTGACACAAGGTGCAACACACTGTAGCAAGAAAGTTTGGGAGTCATGAGCTAGGGATAGGCTAGGCTGAAAGAAAGTGAATGGGGCCACAAAGTGAGGCATTGATCTCAACCACCCACATCACATAAGAATGAAAAAAGCACAAGATTGACCGTTGAAAACCAAGGCCAAGAGTCCGAAACCATTTACCCAGGCCCAAGTTTCACGTTGATCATCGGTCTCAGCGCTACACCATCACATTATATAAATCCTCTACCTGCCTTCATAACCACGATAACAAACAATACCATTGTAGACATACATTTTAACATCTCTTCTTCATCAAAACGAAACAATTAATGGCAATGCACAAGAGCAGTTCAGGCTCAGCGTTGGGACCAGGGGGCTTGGACCTAACGCAGGCCTTCTTCAGGCCCATTATGAACGCAGCACCTCCTTCTCCCACAAAGCGCCACAACAAGGTCTCTGTTATTGGGGCAGGCAACGTGGGAATGGCCATAGCCCAAACCATCCTCACTCAGGACCTCACCGACGAGCTCGTCCTCGTCGACGCCATTCCCGACAAACTCCGCGGCGAGATGCTCGACCTGCAGCACGCCGCCGCCTTCCTCCCACGAACCAAAATTCACGCCTCCACCGACTACTCCATCACGGTGGGTTCCGACCTCTGCATTGTAACCGCTGGTGCCCGCCAGATAAGTGGCGAGTCCAGGCTAAACCTGCTGCAGAGGAACGTAGCCCTCTTTCAGAAAATAATACCCCCTTTGGTTCGTTATTCCCCTAACACCGTTCTACTTATCGTCTCTAACCCCGTTGATGTACTAACTTACGTGGCATGGAAGCTCTCGGGGTTCCCTTCCAACCGCGTCATTGGCTCTGGCACTAACCTTGACTCCTCCCGTTTCCGTTTCCTCATCGCTAATCATCTTGACGTCAACGCTCAGGATGTCCAGGTCTTCTCTTTTTTCACCCTTCATTCATGCAAGATAACGCATTACTTTGACACAACATAGTACGGAGTATGATAAATAAATCTTAAGAAATTAAAATAAGATATTACTTAGTTGGACACCTCAGCATTAATTTATAAATACATATGTATTCCTAGAATGTCACAAAAGCTTCATTAGTTCTATTTGAAAAGGCATTGACTCTGTATAATTGCCTATTGCTCATTACATGTTACATTTTATATATTTTTATTGCTCAATATTTTTTAATTTTTATAGAATGTGAAATGTGATTTTGATTAATCTAAAGGTTAATTTGAAGGTTTTTATTAAATTTTTAATTTTATTAAAAAATAAAATTAATTTTCACTAGTATTATCTTTTTAAAATATAAATAAATATCAAAATTTTAAACATATTTACAAATATATAAATTATATGAAATTTGATATACATAATTATATAAATATTAATGATTGATCTTATAATTTATAAAATATATTAAAATTTGTAAATATTTAAATTTAACAACTGGTTGAATGATGAATCTTACATTTTATGAAAAATTACTTAAAAAGTGTAACATCTTATGTCTTGCCAGAATACAGAGGAAAAGATAGAGATATAGGTGGTAATTTTAGTTTCAAAGTATTTGAGTAGCATTCCAATTTTATAGAAGTTTAAAAAAATGAAAGATGTTTCTTGAATAGGTATCTCAGAGTATAGTACTCTGCGTATCAGATTCGGATACATAAAACACTAATATTGTCGTTTTTTGAGTATCAGAAGTTCATATTAACTGTGACTTTCATTATTTTTACGTCAAATCTATATATGTATTGTAATATGGTTCTGTAATTGTAGGCTTATATAGTGGGGGAACACGGTGACAGCTCGGTGGCCCTGTGGTCTAGCATTAGCGTTGGGGGTGTTCCGGTGCTAAGCTTTCTGGAGAAACAGCAAATTGCGTATGAGAAGGAAATGCTAGAGAATATACACAAGGAAGTTGTACATAGTGCGTACGAAGTCATTAGTCTGAAAGGTTACACTTCTTGGGCAATTGGATACTCGGTGGCAAACTTGGCCCGAACCATTCTTAGGGACCAAAGGAGGGTTCACCCAGTCTCGGTTCTCGCAAAGGGTCTTTATGACATCAATGGTGAAGAAGTGTTCCTCAGCTTGCCTGCACAACTTGGAAGAGGAGGGGTATTGGGTGTAACCAATGTGCATTTGACAGAAGAAGAGACACAAAGGCTTAGGGACTCAGCCACCACCATCCTCGAGGTGCAGAATCAGTTGGCTATTTGAATTTTCTTTCAACCACCCTTTGATGAAGTAGTCACCTAGACACTCGTGTATCAATGACAGTTTATCATCCTTTTTATCTTTCTTTTTCTTTGGCAAGATATTGTTTGGCCATCTATGTACTGAGTTTTTTTTTTTTTCTTTTGTTACTATAATAAAAAGAGATGTATTTTATATTCACTACTAATCCAATCATAATTAAATGATAGTTAAAGCAATAATAATGTGAACTTAGCGAAATTTGAATAATAACATTGATCCCAGAGGAAGGCGACGGGCTATACTCAGGTCGTAAGGCCATGAAACCCCTTACTCTCAACCAGGGATACTTCTATTAATGGTAGTTTATAAACACTCATATCCCACCTAACTTTACAAATAAAGTTAACTCAATAACAATAGGGAGGTTAGACAAAATATCATCAATGATGAAAAAGGTAAAGTGAAATGATGACATGTCAATTAATTTTTAAAAGGTATAAAATTTTATAAACTTGATTAGTATATGAAAATACTATATTTAATAGTTAAATTTATAAAAGTTACGTTTAAGTAAGTCATTGAAGATTTTATTTCACTGAGTATATCATATAAGGAAAGGATTAAAACAAAACAATTTATACACAAATGACACATATTATATATACGTAAATATTAATAATTATAAAATTCCATATTTCTTATTTAAACAAAATAAAGTCTTATAAAAAATATGATGGGAAAAATTTATTAAAAAAGGTCAAGACCCAGGCTCACTCCTGTCTAGATCTGTCCCTACACTTTCTCCAAAAAGTAAATAACACCTAAATAAAATAAATAAATAATATATTACGATTATAAAAAAATTTATACTATACATCAATTAGAATACACATAAACATGAATGATTTCAATCTTGTTATCAAAGCTTCTCAAAAATATATTAAGACTTGATCCGTCCCATACATGTGGCTAAGAGGTATATTTCTTATTTAAAATATATTTTATGCCATTAATCATTCCTAATTTCTTAATAATATATTTTCTTTGATTTCAAATAAGGCCTACGCTACATTGAAATGAGAAAGAAAGCCCAACGAACCATCGCTCAGCAGTAAATGAAAAAAGCGAAATGACAAAAACCAAAAAATAAAAGAAAAAACTCTTTATTTATTCAGTGTAGACCCAAAAGAACAAAAAGGCCTAAGCGTTAGATGATGGACATATAACTTAAAATTAGGAGGAAGTTCCCTGAGGTTTTAGGCCCAAGGTTTAAATTTAAGTCATAAAGGCATGGATAATACTTCTTTAATTATTATTAGACCAAGCTTAACTAATTATTACTCACATTTATAACTGTTGTTAGAGACAATTCAGATGAGAGCGGAGAGCTAGGGGATTTAAATTGGGTTGGGTTTGACTCGATAGATTGAATGTTTTGGACTCACTTATTTTATTTTAACTCGTTAAATGTGAATCAATAATAGAATTAAATAAATTAACTTATTGAGTTTATTTTAAATTTTTAAAAATAAAAAATTTATTTATTAATTAATATTAAACTTATTAATATAAAAATATTTTTTTAATTTTAAGTAAATTATTTTATTAACTCACCAATATTTTCTTATATATAGCCCGTTTGGGTAACGAGCTGGCCTTTTTAGCGGAGTGTGCTGGCCCATTTTAATACTCATGCAATTCCGTCCATTGATTGCAGTTGCACTATCCATTCTTCAAAAGAGTAGAATTTTATTCTTAAAAATTTTGGAAAATCGAAACGAATTACAATGGTAAAAGAAAAACGAAAAGAGAAACCAAGATAGTACTTCGAAGCAGGAACTGGCATTTTCCGAGGTCATGTTTATCCTTGATGCATCTCCTTTTCATCGCACCCACATGCCAGTTTCGCCCTTAATGATTAAATTTGATTTTGATTTGGATATAAATGAAGAAATAACAGAAGACATTAGAAAGTTTATGCGTAAGGTTAGTAACATACTTTTTGAACTTTTGTTTCGCCATCGGATGAATTTATGTGAGTAAAAGTTAATTTAAAGATGTTGAGAAGAGCGTGTTTGTTCACAATTCTTCTTTTCTGTTGTTTAAAACTCTTTTACAAGTTTCCACTGATTAAATATTGGTAGACGGATTCCAACAGATGAGAATAAAATAATGCATAAAGGGGTAGCCACGGTTGAGCGGATCTTCAATATATTATGGTCAAACATGCCAAAAGGCCCCCACCCTAGATGAGGACTTCCCCACATGTTGAGAATCTAAATGGGGGCACTGCCACATGTCTACAGGTATCAATGTGTATATTCTACAAAATTTTCCGTTCCCTCTTCATTCCATGGCACCTTTGTCCACATCTCTATACCTGTCTTTACACTGTTCTTAAAGCCAAATTTAAAGCAAACCTTGATCGATGTGACAATAATTGAAGGTCAATTTCTTTTTTATTTTCTAACGTTTTTCCTTCATATGTATAACGCCACCTGTGTTTATCCATTTTCAATGTTTCGCTATTATAATACATTTCAACGCTTAATTAGCTAACTGTATCCAAAACCACGGATAAGCACGTCTTGAAGCAGCACATTACAAGTGAGAGACATGGTGTATTTGTAATCCACACACATTGAGCATGCGCTTCACAAAATAACATCATATTATCAACCAGAGATACTAGTATATACTATATAGACAATAATAATCAATTATTGCTAATAAATAATTGTAGAATCATATACTTTACTACTGAATGTCAACTTCTGATTCTCGAAACTTATATACTTGGTCATATAGACTTTTTATCTATTCTTTTAAAAAAATAGGTATGAACGACCAGGTGAGGGATTCAAAATCCTTCCATTTCTTCTTCAAGTTGCAAGTATTTATTTATTTATTTTTTTGTGAGCGAGGAAATTGTATGAGGAGATGAATATATATATTAAGCCAGATCTTAAATTAAATATTCGTTTCTTCCAATCTCATAAAGAAAATGTTTTCTACACAAAAAAATCCGGTACCTGCAGAGACTTCACAAGTTCACATTCACATAGCTTAATGTGCCAAGCGTAAAAGAAAAATGAAAAGTGTATGTTGATGTAGTGAGTAGTATGTCCTTTTTCATATAATGTTATTTGTTTAGTGTAAATTTTGTTTAGTGTGAGTAACACAACCCTTCATATAATGTTATTTGTTAGACTTGTTAAATAGTCTTGCTGAGTTTAACAATAGGAGGCCATGATTATAATGACATAACGAACCTATACATTTTTACTGAACCTGTACTTTCATGGTGGATGGAACTCACAACAATTAAGTAATTGTGTCCAATTTATATAGTGCAAAAAAAATGATGATAAAGAGAATTAAATTATTGATATAGATCTACATTATCATTTGAATGGCTGATTCACAAGAGAACTCACATTATTTGGAACAATATGAAGTCACAAGCTCGTGTTATCGAAAAAAATGAGACATGCAAATCTGTAAAATTCCTTTCTGAATCTGATACAATCTATGATCCAAAAAAGAATTATCCTTACAGATTATATGGATGTGCAAACTAAAATAACCAGATCGAGTTAATGTACACGTCATTAATCTTTATGATATATTCATTGTTGGATTTACTTTATTATTTTTTAAGTTATAATGTGTGATATGTACAAGAAGAAAGATTATGTAACTTTTAAAAATGAGTATTATTGTACAAACGAAGGCTAAGAACATACTATTTTTTTTTTTTAGATTATATGTGTCTTTCAAGAGAGAATTTTAGAATTAAGCATGTATTACTTTAACCAATTTTCATAGATAAAAATATCTCCTTTAAACATACTTTATGTATTTATTTATTTTTATTATTTAAATAATTTTTAAAAAAATAATTTATAAAATAAATACTTTGAAATTTTAATAATAGATTAACTATACAAAATTTATTAAATAAATATGTTTGAAAGATTTTTTTGCTGTATTTTTCATGTGTGAATGTAATATATAAAGAAAAGAGGATAAGTATAATTTTTCAATTGAAAAAATGTAAATATAATTACCATTAGCTTGAAAAGGTAATTCTGATTATTTATTGTTGATTTTTTTTCCATTAAATGATTGACAAATCTTTGTGCCAACAAGACTTTTTTTTTTCTTAGTTTTCGTTTTGCATCTTAAAATTAAAAAAAAAAATTGAAAGAGTTCTTATAATACTAATTAATAAAATAAAATACAAAAAATATTTAATATATAATTGAGGGCATAAAAATGATAAATATGTACTTTTAGAAATACTTAAAAGTACTTAATATTGCATATTAAATATTAGTAATTAATATTCTCTTAAGGAGATTTATATGATAAAATTCTCTGCAACAAAATAATCTCTTTTTTCGATTATAATAATATCATGTTATTTAAAATATAATATAATTACCAAAAATTTCGTTTGCTAACTCATTATTGTAATATTTTATTATTTAACATTTTTTAGAATTTAATTAATTTTAACCTAATTATAACTTATATTAATTCTCTTTATTTAGCCTCAACATGTAGTTTAAACTTCAGTCACATGCTTGTTTTTCTATTATTGTTTAAGTTTATTTTTATTTTTTTTTGTAGTTTTTTTTTTAATATCACAGATCAAATTTTTTTATATTAAACTTTAACATTATATTAAAATTTGATTGCTGGCTCGGTCTAAGAACATAAAAGAGAATGAGCATAGATTTATAGGACATATTTATCTAAATAATAATCTTTTAAATTCATAATTTTCTTATTTATATATTTTTAAGTTGTTGGTAATTCACTAAAATTATAATTTAGTTAAAATACACAATAAAATTTAATCATGAATTATTATATTAATAAAAATTATTAAATATTATAATAATTAATTTAAAAGAAACATGTAATATATTCGTTTATTGATTAACAATTTAAAACTAATTTATATTAATAATTCATCAAAATTAAACTCGTAACTTTTTTTTATTTATAAATAA